GTCCCCACTTCACTCCGTGGAGCTGCAGGGCTTTCTGAAGGGATGGGCCAAGTGGAGTTTGGAAAGGGGCAGGGCATGGGGAGGAGGCGAGGCGTGCAATTCAACCGGCGCTTCCGCCCAAGATGGGAGCTGCTCCCTCCGCTCAAAGCAGTCCAGACCACCGTCCCCAGGGGCTCTGCTTCACTGCAAGCCCTCCCTTTGCAGCAGCAGTCGTAATACTGGTTCAGGCTGAGGGTCAAGTGCTGCTGAGGTTTCAGTCCTCTGACTGCCTCCTGAAGTCCAGACTTCTCTCCAGAGGGACTTAATTTGGTGACACTGGGTCACAGAACGCTAAGCGCCGCTGCTCCAACAGGCATCAGAAGCGTCCTGCATCTCGGATTCCTTCAGAGCCTGCCCGGGGAACAGTGGTTCCTGCGCGGGGCCTCTCTGCCCTTGACTTATTCCCGGCAGCTGGATGCAATCAAGATACCATCCTTGTCACTTCATCTATAACTCTGCAGCTGACTACAGGATCAAAACGGAGTGGAGCCGAATGGGATGGGCCCACGCTAATCGCGCCCTCGTGGAGCACGAAGTCGATTATGTAGACAGTAAAGCATTTTCCCAGCCAGCGGAGCCAGGAGTCAGGCTCGGCCCCCGGGGCTCCACCCAGCTCCCCACCCCCACTCTCATTCAGCTCTTTCCTTTCCATCTCAGGGGAACGCTCTGGGGTCAGCCTTCTGTCACGACTACCGGATGCCTGCACGGGGGTGTGGGCATCTGAGAGCCCTCAGGGGACCCCGGGGACTCCAGTGAAGGTGCTTCCAGTGCCCTTATGAGGCTCTCCAGGCCCCTGCGCACAGTGTCCTTGGCTATTTTTAACCGCAAACATCTTTGAGGACAGAGGCCCAACTCCGTGAGGGTGAACTCTATGCCCTCATTAGCGACTTAGCCATGCTGCGGCCAGCACTTGCGTTTGGGGCAACGCCACGTGCCGATTCGAGTGCAGGGTATGACAACACAATACCATCCTCCAGCGGTTCCGTTCTGAAGTTTATAACCTAAATACCTTTTACTTGATCACGGGGATCGCCTCACTGGACTCCCAGCTGTGCTTACTTGGCCATTTTCCAAGTCCTTTTTCCTTTCTTTCTTTTTTTTTTTTTAACCCCTGGGGTCTGCTGGGGCCTGCCATGGCTACGGGATCACACTAAGATCTGCTTTCGTCTTACAGCCCACAGGAGGCAGCCTGGACGGAGTCCTCCATCCTGCACGTGGCGCACCAGGGGGCCATGGCCCAAGTATACCAAGGCCAGCTCTGCCAGTGGAGAGCTGTGTAATGGGACTACTCCCAGAGTCCTGCTTTCATTCTGCCATCCGCAAGACGGACGGCTGGACCAAGCGACCTCTGATGTCTTTCGCTGACCTGCTCTCGAGGGACAAACCCATCAAGTGCAATGTGTCTCAAGCTGTAAGTTTCTAAATGGGAGGGCTAGCGCTGTTTAACTGTGTTTAAAATGTCCTGCAAGTCTGGGTGCCCGAGAAATGTTCCCGAGAAGAGGATAATGCGCTACCTTCTAAGCCAGCTCAGGCTCAGGGTGTGTGTGAACCACAGTCAGATTCTGGAAACAGACGGGACGGGGGTGGGAGAACGGAGGTGTAACAACAGGTGGTGCCCATCTGGGATGTGCGACTGTGAACTCACAGGTCACTCCAGGAGAAAAGTCACTCTCTGAAGCGGCTGCTAAGTCGTCACCCTTTCAAAGGCAAAGCTCCACGGGGTTTTGCTACTGGGTGAGAAGGATGTCACGCGGCTCAGGACTCGGGGGCTGGAAGATAGACGAGCAGGTAGTGAGAGCCACGGGGGATGGCGGCTAAGAATCAAGGTGCATCACACTGGGCGAGGGTTTCATTTCTTTCCTTGCATGCAGTGAGTCTGGTCAGCCCCTGGCCATCAAAGTGGGTTACAACCAAACTGTGCGGTCCCATGCCGGGGCTGGCCAAAGCAGAGCTGCAGGGGCCCTAATGTGTGAATGTCATTCAATCAGGGGCCCATACAGCCCTGCAGGCTGTATGCCGCATGCTGTCCAGGCAGCAAGGGGCAGCTGGCTGCTTCCAGTCCTGAGCCGGTTTCCCCAGAAGAGCCAGTCAGTAACAGGGTTCACAAACGGGATTTCCTGACTTAAAGTGGAACAGAGTGACCGGCTTCAGCTTCAGCTTGAGCTTCTGGCTACAGTGGCAGTGGGCAGCCTTTGTGAAGGGGGTGCTCTGCAAACAGTCCAGGAGCCTTGGTTCGTGCCTGGGACGCTTCTGTGCGGATGCCGGACACCCAGAGCAGTGGCCCAACCCTGGCGCTGCCCGGCCTTGACACAGACCTGCACAAGCTGTGTCGCGTGTCCATCTTTACACGTGGGAACGCAGGCTCACAGGCCGCCCTCTGGGGTCCTGGCAGCCTTCCCATGTGCCCGGCCGGTCTGGCTGGGGTGAGGCCTCGGTGCTGCGGCACGTGCTCCTCGTTCCTTTCAGGTTCTCCCTTCAGGCCGGGGGCAGGGGGAAGGCAGAGGCAGAGTGGGGCTGGCGCAGCTGCTGTGGCAACGTATGCTGTCCTGTCTCTCTCTGGCTGCTGCTGTTAGGAAGGCACCGTTGCACAAGTGGCTCTGAACCATCGGCTCTGCCCTCTTGTCGGTAGCAGCTCAGCCCTGGCATCCGTGCACGCTGCCTGTGGGTGGTAAGGAGGAGACGCACTTGGCGGGGTCACCGCGCCCACCCTGTCCATGTTGTCTCTGGGATCTGCAACCTAGAGGTTGCTGGGAAGGCAGAGATCATCTGGCCCAGTTCCCTCCCTGTCCAGATGAGAACACTGAGAACTTGGGCAGGAAGTGGCTCTTCCAGGGCGCACCTGCTGGGTCACCTACACTGGTCCTAACAGCCCATGCGGTCCTGTTTGAGAGACACGACTGCCCACTATTCTGAGTCTACAGAGCATCTCAGCTCCCTGAGCTCTGTCCCCTACCTGTGAAACAAAGATGTCGGGTTATGGCTTCTGAAGCCATGTTCAGGGTCAGTGTCCTTCCACTCGGGGGTGCCAAGGGCAGATATGGTAAGAGCCGCATTCGCCTGATAATGATCAGGCTGAAAACTGGGGGGAGGAGAAGAAGTGGGGAACAGGGCAAAACCTTTCGCTCCCACCAGCACCCAGCAGCTAGAAGTGGCAGGCTCTTCGCTGAATGTGATTTCCACATAGCAGAGAAAGGCCCCCGTTCACACCACTGGAAGGAGGGACCCCCACTAGCTGTGGGCGGCACTCAGGAGACTCCACTGGAACCTGGGAACCTGTGAGGCTCCGAGGCAGAGAAGGAGATGCACGCGGAAGGCAGCGGAATGAAAGATTAAACCCGACTACTCTTTCACAAGGCACTGAACCTCTTGGGGGCCAATAAGGAAGGGAAGGAGAGAGGTGCGTGTGAGAGGATGGGAGCAGGAAGAGACGGGTCAGGATCGGGTCGTGGGTTTTCTAATTTGGGCTCCATTTCTACACCCCCAGCCCCAGCGTGGACTGTACTATTTCTAAGTCTGGTCTCGGGAGATTGCTCAGCGAAGTTCAAAGAACAGTGAGCATATGCTGAATGGTTACTGTTCTCTTTACGTCCCGCACGAAGAGATGAAACAGAGACCTGTCTTCCTTAGCAGTAACCACTGTCGGGCCAGCACAACTTCACGTTGATTTTTGTCAGGCTCAATTTAAATGACAGGGGGTCAATGATATTAGCTCTCTCTGGCTGCCCTGGCAACTTGCATCACTTACAGTCAGCGATGTGACTGCACAACCAGCCACACCCCTTTTTTGTCCCTCTCACAGGGCAAAGCGGAGCAAGGACTCTGACCACAAACTCTGTAACCCTGGGTGACTTTATAGCATACAAGCGATTCTAGAACAATCATTTAAGGAGTTGAAGCATCACATGGCCCTGCATATGGGCTTCCACCCCACAATCTCATTGGGGTTCTTTCCATCAATTTCCAAAACATAATTTGGGGTAGCGTCCCATAGAAGGCAAAACTAGAATAAAGCCCAAACTGTCATAACAAATGATGCCCTCAGCAGCGTCAACAACAACAAAAAAAACCCACAAAACATAGATCTCCCATTTATCTTAAAAATATCAACTCTGATATCAAGTTCAAGGCAGGCAATCTAACTGCACATGAGGGTCGTGCAGTTTGGGGCTGGAGAGATGTGGATGCTCTCACTTTCTCAACTCACTGGCACATGCGACTGACTCAGCAGCTCAGTGCCGTCCATTACTGTCTACATTAAACACACTTCGAGAGGACTGCAGTTGTGAGATACTGCAGAGGCCCTGGGTACCCTCTGCTCAGTCCCTGCTCCCCCACACCAACCTCCAACCCCCAGGATGGCAATTTCTTGCAAAACTAGGGAATGGCGGTCATGACACGATCCTGACCTTGATACAGCCCATTGATGTCCATCGCCACAAGGAGCTCCCCCGTTATCTTCTAGGATACAACCGCCACCCCCATCTCTGTCTCCTGGCAATCGCCCATCTCTCCTCTATTTCTATAACTCTATCATTTCCAGAAGATTGTACTCACATAAATGGAATCATACAGTGCATAGTCTTTCGGGACTGGCTTTTTTTTTTCATGCCGCCTGAATTCCCTAGAGATTCATCCAAGCTGCTGTGTAAGTCCAAAGTCTGCCCCTTTTTATTGCTGAATAGTACTTCACGGTATGCTAACGCCACAGTTTGTTTAATCACTTACACACGGAAGGCCATCTGGCCGGTTCTTGCTCTTGGCAATTACATACAAAACTGTTAGAAACACGCACATGTTTTCATGTGAGCATAAATTTTCATTCCCTTGGGACGAAAGCCCGAGAGTGCAACTGCTGTGTTGTACTGGAAGATGCGTGTTTCAGTGGATAAGAAACGACCAAAGCGTCTTCCAGAGCAGCTGCACTGTCTTTTATTCCCACCCGCAAAGTACGAGTGCTCTAGTTTCTTTGCATCCCCACCAGCACTTGCTGCTGCCGTTCTTTTTTTTTTTTTTTTTTTTTTTTTTGACAGGCAGAGTGGATAGTAAAAGAGAGAGAGAAAGGTCTTCCTTTGCCGTTGGTTCACCCCCCAATGGCCGCTATAGCCAGTGCATCATGCTGATCCAAAGCCAGAAGCCAGGTGCTTCTCCTGGTCTCCCATGGGGTGCAGGGCCCAAGCACTTGGGCCATCCTCCACTGCACTCCCGGGCCACAGCAGAGAGCTGGCCTGGAAGAGGGGCAACCGGGACGGAATCCAGCGCCCCGACCGGGACTAGAACCCAGGGAGCCGGCACCGCAGGCGGAGGATTAGCCTATTGAGCCGCGGTGCCGGCCTGCCATTCTTTTTTATTTTAGCCATCGTGATGGGTATGTGGTGATAATTTACTGTGGTTTTACTTTGTATTTTCCTAGTGGTTAATGATGCTGATCAACTTTTTAAAAAAAATTCTGTTTTTCATTTATTTGAAAGGCAGAGAGACACACAGAGAGGGAGAAGGAGAGTGAGACACTGAGATCTACAACAGCCAGTATCGGGCTGGGCTGAAGCCAGGAGCCCAAAGCTCCATCCAGGTCACCCGTGTGGGTGGCAGGGACCCAGGTACTTGTCTGCTGCCTCTCAAGGTGCCCCTGAGTAGGAAGCTGGACTGGACTTGAACCAGGGCGCTCTGAGATGGGATGCAGGCGCCCCAAGTGGCAGGTCGACGGCTGTGCCCCAAGGCCTGCCTGTTTCGTGTGCTTGTTTGCCATCCATAAAGCCTCTTCAGTGAAAAGGCTGTGTGTATTCTTTGCCCATTTCTAATTGGGTTATATGCTCTTTACTGCTGAGTTTTCAAAGTTCTTTACATAAGGGCACTTCAAAAAAGTTCAAGGAAATGGAATTAAAAGATAAACTTATTTTGGTTCAAAAAATTTGAAGGTCATAGCTAGTTTCTCATAATACACATTTTCCATAAACTTTCTGAAGATTCCTAATATAGCCTAGATGTCTGGTCCTGTGTTGGATGTTTGATTTGTAAATATTTCCTTCCAGTCTGTAGCTTGCCTTTTCATTCTAAAATCTCTTGAGAAGCAAAAAGTTTTTAATCTCGATAAGGTTAAGTTTAGAAATTTCTCCTTTCATGGATCATGCTTTTAGTGTCAAGTTTAGGAACAATGCCTACTCCCGGGTCCTTTTTTCCTAAAAGTTGTGTGGTTTTACAATTTACATTAAGTCTATGATTCACTTTCAGTGAATTTTTGTATAGGGTATGAAGTTTAGTTCAAGGTTAAATTTTTGTCTATGGATGTCTAATTTCTCAGCACCATTTTTTTTTTTTCTGAAGTCTATCCTCCCTCTATGGAATCGTGTTCGCATCTTTTGTTTCTTCAAGTTTAAGAGAATGTCTCATACTTCAGGGAGTGAGTGCGGAGACAAAGCTGACAACACGTCCCAAGGCACTTGTAATTCAGAGAAGCAGGTGGCACATGCTTCAAAAACTGAGCAGAAAGCTAGGACACAGGCAAAAGTATGAAAGGAGTGAAAAGGATGGAAAGCTTACCTCTGGGTTGGGGGTGGGGAAGCAGAGAATGAGAAACAAAGCTTCAAGCATTTTGTTTTAAAGGAAGAAAAGGAAAAAGAAACTTAAATTACGACGTTAGCAATGAGACCCCATTGTCTCTAACCAGGTCAGCAATTAATATAAAACTACTCTTTGCTAAATGCCTAGCAGGCCAGCAAATAGAAGTCCAGGGTCCTTCCACCGAATACAGATTGTGGAACCATTTTACATAGAACAATTCCGTATAATCCTACTCACAGGAAGGGTATTTGTAAACCAACTCAGTGCCCACACATGCGGCTCGCCTAGTCAGCAGGAGGTGTGGGGCATCTGCTGGGTGCCAAGCACTCGGGCACATGGACGTGAACGAGGCCGACGTGACCCCTGCTGGAACGGACCGTGCTAAGCGGAGTGTTCCAGCCTCTGCTGCGGGTGGCTGTGGCTGTGGTCAGCGGCCCGGGTAGCCTCTTCCTCTCCTCTCCAGGAGCAGCGTATCAGCATGTGACTCTGACCCCTGCCCAACCCCTCCCATCTTCAGCCCAACCTGAAGGCTGGCTGGAAACCTAGAAATATTACTTTTAAAGGCTGCCAACTCTTGATCTAAACCAGCCAACGGACAGTAGCAAATAGACTGCAAGCATGATTAATGGGAACCCTCGGCACCAGTTTTCAAGCCCCAAGAAATAAAGATGATCTGAGAGGCAAGTTGTAAATATCACGCTGACTAGCTCATCTCTCTTTCCAGAGGCGCACTTCCCAGCTGTGACACGGCTGAGGTCAGAGCCGACTCTCGCCCTTTAAGTGTCCTTTCTCTGTGTCCTCAAAGGGGAAATCAATGCATCTGATGCGACAGCGATCCCCGCTGTTGCTTCAAAATTACGATTTTGCAAGGGTTGTGCGATTTCACAATGGCACGGCTTCACACTCGGGGGCGCGACACTGAGGCTTCCTTTGGAACTACAGGCACCGCCGCCTCCTGACAGAGCTGGCGGGGACAGGGCCTGGACGCTGCTGTGGCCCCCAGGCCCTGGTCCTGAGCCCTGCCCGGCCCAGCCACACACCTCCCGTAGGCATCTCTGTCACAGTCAAGGCAGAGAAACAGCCCAGCACAACAAAACAGCTCAGCTCTCCAAAGCACAAGCCAAATTCTGAAAGCCTGAATGCCTGAAGCAGCCAGAGTTCTCCGCAGCCAGTCCCAGGGAGACAGCAGGCAGTTTCTGGCACAATAAGCCCGGGACATATGGATCCTTTCAGAGGTGGAGGAGCACTGCAAATACCGCCTGTCAGCAGCAGGGAGGGAGGGCGCACGTCCTCTACCCCGTCGAACGCTCCGACACCTTTTGGAAAACAACCACCCCACGTCGTGCGCGCTGATCCTGAGGCACCGAGATACAAAGCCAGGACAGCGTGCCGGTGCACAGACGGGCAGGAGCCGAAGCAAGGCAAGGGGAGACTAGGGTAGGGGCCCGGGGGCCTGCTCTGGGAGGGCTCAGATGACTCTTTCCTCACCAGCACAGTGGCACACACAGTAGGCTCCTACGGAATACACGCGGATGCCTACCCAAGCCAACCTGCCTCACGTGGGACGGGAAGTGTGCGTGGCGGGGGCGGAGAAGGGGGCAGGATGCTGGGGTGGGGAGAGGCGCCAGCAGGGTGCACAAAACGCTGTCCTCCTTGGGCCTGCCTTTGGTGTTTCGTTAATGGCTGTGTAAACAAATTCTGAACGTGCTGTTTTAACTTGCTCGGCGGGGAAGAAAAAAGTGGTACTCCATTCCAATTCCCAACTGGGTGCTTTGCAAAGCGGTCAGATGTTCGTGCAACGTTCAGCGCACATATTCGATTTCCTTCCCTTAATATTTGCTTGGCTTGTCCTCCAGTGGGGACTGGGTGCTTCAGAAGTGCTCTGAGAGGTCAGACTTCCCTGCAGCGTCTCTCAGCACCTCCGCGGCTTCTGGCCCGCGGCTGGGATCTTCTTTCAGCGGCGCTTGGCGATGGCAGCGGCGCACACGTGAGCTACTCCCCCTCCGGGTCCCATGAGTCTTGGGGGTGTAAATCAATGCAAGGTGGAGATGGGACTGGCCGGACAGATTACCCAGCTCTGCAGGCTGAGAACAGGGAGCCGCAAACGCTGTAGAAGACACTCCGGGGCATAGCTCGTCTCTGACCGTGGTCCTCCCGTGTCTCCTCTGGGGAGCTCTGACTGTCCCTTACTGGGGGTGGGGGGCTGCAGGGGACGCGCAGGAATGAGCTGCTCGGCCCATTCTCCCTTCTGAAGACAATGGTCTCCGTAACAGTAACTCTTGAGACACTTGACAGACAGACGGACAGACAGATGTCCTTTTCAAAACCATACTGCTACTATCATGGCCAGGGTCAGGAACAGTACCCGGGGAGCTGCCACTCACTCACTCCCAAGGCTGAAAGGGAGCTTGCAGCACTCAACTTCTTTGGTGAGCGCCCAAGAAAGAGGGCTTTCACACAGGTCAGCACGGCAAATGGATCTGGCTACATGGGAACGCTTTGTGCAGAAGCCGGTGCAGCTCGGCCTGGGCGAAGGGCAGACACAAAGCGGGCTGGCCCTCTGAGAGCCCCAGCCCCTGCGGCACACCGGCAGCCACGCGGACGGGCTCCGGACCCCCTGCTACGGCCCACGCCAGATGAGAGACGGCAACACTGGAGTTCCCCATCTTCCCAGTCACTCTCGGCTCAGACCCTGCGAAGGCTCCAGGCCCTGAGTGAGCCGAGCGGTCAAGCACTGGAAATGCAAGCTGGCGCTTCATCACCTCCAGTGCTTGGACTATCCAGCCAGCGCAGCCGTGGGCCTGAACTTGACCTCCTCATTGAGGGGCTCCCTTTTTATCAGCCTTGGCTGGGTAAGCGTTGATTTCCTTGGGACCCTGGATGAGCGCAAGCAGCAAGCTTGCTCCAGAGCCCAGGGCAGGACGAGCCGGGAAAACCTTTCTGTACAGGCCTCCAGCATTCCCAACACACCGGGGCGCACTTTCAGACTCAGGTCTCGGGGGCTTACACCTAAGGAAGGGAGCGGGCAGTCTCCCATCTGAGGGGTCCTAGCCATCACCACAGCCTGGGACACACAAGTCACGGCTTGTCTTGCATTTGTATTTTTCCCTCTGATGCAGCATCTGGGATTCCTGTATTGGCAGGAGGCTTGGGACGGACGAAGAGAGGACAGAAGTCACTCTGTCTTTCCAGTTCTCTGCTAGTGTTTAAGGCGGATTCTGTTGGAGGTCGTTTCCCTCTCTCAGCCATTCTAGCGAGAAGAGAAAAAGCACTCCAGCTTAGCCAGAGCCACAGCTTACAGCCTCTCTCCCGGTCTCTCTGGCGGCTCAGGTAGACAGCTATCGATGTCACGGGTGTCTGGTTAGAGCGTGACTCAGCTCTGGACTTCTCCAGTTAGCTGAGTCCCTCGTCACATGTGAAATCTCAGCCACAGTGGGAACTTGTCTTCCCTTCTCCTGGCTTTTTTGATCTACTCAAATGCTGAGTCTGTGGATTTTCTGCTACTACTGTCTAACGGGTTTTCCCTCTTTTCCACTGTTACCTCTAATTCATCTTGGGATCTGACAGCTTCTACCAGTCATCTTGCTACAAACCTGCATGGCATCTATCTATCTTCCTCCCTCCCTTCCTCCCTTCCGAAGATTTATATTATTTACTTGAAAGGCAGAGTTACAGAGAGAGAGACAGAGAGACTCAGAGAGAGATATCAATCTTCCATGTGCTGGTTCACTCCCCAAATGGCCACAATAGCCAGGGTTGGGCCAGGCTGAAGCCAGGAACCAAGAACTTCTTCTGGGTCTCCCACGTGGGTGCAGGAGCCCAAGCACTTGGGTCATCCTCCGCCGCTTTCCCAAGTGCATTTGCAGGAAGCTGGATCGGAAGTGGAGCAGCCGGGACTCGAACCGGCACTGATACAGGATGCAGGCACTGCAGGCGGCAGCCTTACCCGCTACACCACAGCGCCGGCCCCTGCAGGGCATCTTTACTGCCCATCAGTTGAAACTTGCAGGCGGCCTCTGAGCCTGGGAGCCAGCTCACCCTCTTGCCTAACCAACCACATTTCCACTGTTAACTGAAGCAAAGCCCTCGTTCGAGTTCCCCTGCTACTGCAGACACGAAGCTCACTCTCATTGGCTGCCCTGCTTCTCGGCACCTCCAACATCAGAAGGCCTACTCCCATACTGTCCTGTGGTCCTTATGAAATAAAAAAAAGGGGGCATCTCATGCTATTCGGCTGCCTTCTCATGGTTCCTTGTGATTATACACCTGCCATTACCTTGGGGAGTTAAGAAAATAATACAAATAAATTCTCACCATTTATTAGCACTCAGGAGGTCTGCCCAGCCACTCCCACTACGGGTACCCAGGCAGTACAAGAAGGCTCCAGCACTCTGCGTGCCTAACAGCACACAGCTGCTCTGGGCGAATTCCCACTCCCACACGAACGATCAACGTTATCACAGGTACTGTTGGCCAAGAGCGTTTCACATCTCTCGGGTGGAAAGTGTTCAACACTTAAGTGCTACTAATAATTTTTATGGTTGGAAATGTGGATCAAAGTATGAAAGGAAAAATAAATCCACGGGTCCATATATCCAGCCAAGTCTCCACGGCTCATTTTCTGCCATATGTTTTAAACTGCCTCTCTCGAGGGTGGTGGAGAGGAGGGGAAAAGGTGGCCTTTTTATTTCCCAATTCTTTAGGTCCTAAATAAAGCAGACAAACTTGGGGGAAAAAAAAAATCAAACATTGCAGTAACATTATACACTGCTACCGTTCCCCCAGGAGCCCCTTGCAAATGAGAATCAAGAACTCAATAGATACTTCCCCAGTGAAAACATAAACAGATAAATAAATTATCCCATGCCGAAAAGAACGGCCACATCTGGTAGCTCTAGCACTTGTCAGGCAAGTCAAAAACGTGCAGGGCCGGAGAGGAGCGCTCCGAGCTCCCGATTCAAGGCTGCGGAGAGGGTGCGGCCGTCCCCAGGGAATGTGACCCCTGTGTTTTCTTCCAATTAAATAAATAATGATGCACAGTAGTGGGGCCAAATGGCCACGTGCTCAAGTCACAGGCCCAGGAGGAGAAAAGCCCTTTGGCCTCGCATTCATACTTGCTATGGTGGGCGCTTCGGGGTTATAGTCATTGGACACTGACTCTGCCAATTCTTCAGCAATAGAACGTGGGGTGTCAGGACCATCTCTAAGGCCCGCCCTGTTCCAGTCCTGCCCTGTGAGAGGGTCAAGGGCATGCAGGGATCTGATTGTCTCAGCCACCCAGTGGTGGGCGGAGGGTGGGCCGCAGGGAGAGACGACAGCCCTGCCTGTGAGCCCCGGTGTCCGGTACCAGCATCACCTAAGTGTGCCATGCTTCCACAAACACTGGATAAGGCCTGTGGGGGCTCTGGGGACTTCCACCTGGGCAGGGATCCTCCAGCTCACTGTCCACTTCCAAGCAATGCCTCAGCATCACTGCCCTGACATGGTGTGGCTCTCACGTTAGGCCCAGACTCCTCTTCCAGAGCCGAGGAAGTGTGCGGTGCGTGAGCTGGCCGTCACTCTGCTCCTGGCCTCTTACACACACTGTCATCTGACGTCATTAAATCAGTCTGCGAATCTGTTCTTCCAACCCTTTCCCACAACATGGCCTTGGAGTGGCCCCCCCTGTGTGGAAGTCACATAGCAAACGCTGAGGCATGAGTCTACACCACCAGAATCATGAACAGCACTGGCCCTGGTTCACCGTATTCCCCACTGGTTTTCTCCACTTACATAAGTTCTGTAGTCTCCCGTCAACTTCTAATATGCAGCTGGCACGGACTCTACATACCCAGGACGCCCACACTCACAGTCTCCAAACACCTGGGAGGCCCCCACTCTCAATCTGAATTTCGCCAGATGCTCACACTCACAATCGTTACGTGTTTCAAGGGAGAGTGAAGGCACCTGATGCTTTTTGTGCACAGAAGTTTCCATGGGATTTCTGCCCATGGACTCACACCTTACAGGCTTGCCCTGGGAGTCGTGACACCAGCAGGGGTTTCAGGAAGTTATCTGGTCCATTCTGTCTCCAGGCAGGACTAGTAAAACCATGCTAGATGCCAGACTGCTGGCTTCCCTTTGATGAAAAATTCCCAAATGGGGAGACTCCCCTGTCTCTCCTGATTTCTCTAAAAATTCTTTGGAGCTATCATAAAAAAGTTTCTTTCATCACTGGCCTTTGATTTCTCACATAATAAACACGTGTTTAAACATTTTTAAAATTTAAACTAGGATAACGCTTTTAACCATTGCAGAAATGATGATGGCCATGGGGGATAAAAGAAGAAATGGAGATACTTTTCTCAGAGGAAAAGCAAGCAGGGCAATGTCTGGATTATGTAAAACCTGGAAGCGCCGGAGTGGATTTCTAGCCGAATGGAGAAGCAGCCTGCACCCCACGCTGGGTTGCCTCAGTTTGTCTCCGCTCCAGCCCTGACGCCAGCTTCCTCCTGCAGACCCTGGGAGGCAGCAACGATAGCTCAAGCAGTTGGGTTCCCCACCCACGTGGGAGACTTGGACTGAGTTTGAGGGCTGCGCTTCACCCCAGCCTTTGCAGGCATGTGGTGAACGAGCCAGCGGGTGGAGGGCCCACTCGTGCGCTCGCTCACTTGCTCCCTCGCTCTCTCTGCTTCTCAAATAGGAAAAACTCAAAGTACCAAGGAAACTAAGCTCACCTAACTGATCTAGTAACAGCATTAAATCCACAACTGTAGAATGTGTGCTCTTTTTAGGTATATATAGAACTTTACCAAAATACACCTTCCACTGGCCATGAGACTCAAGCATTTCAAAATAGTAAGCTCATACAGAGTATATTCTGAACACTGCAGAATAAAACCAGAAATCAAAAAGAAAAAGATGGATTAACTTCATAAAAGTAAGTAATGTACTTTTATATAATTATGGATCAAGGAAGATTTTGCAACAGAAATTAGAAAGTACTCTGAATGTAAGGATAATAGAAATATGACATTAAGCTCAGGAATGAGCAGTAATTAAAGTGAAATTTATAGCTTAAAATGCATGTTAGAAAAATAGGTACTAGAGTCAATGATCTAGGCTATCAAGTCAAAAGGCCAGGAAAAAAAGTAGCAACTGAATTCATTAAAGTCAAAGAGGAAATTAGTTATGGACAGAGAAGTATTAGTTACGTACAAAACAAATATGCAAGAGGAAAGCCACGGATACGGAAAGCTGTTTCTTAGAGGAGTCTGTGTCCTTGATAAACCTTTAATAAAACTTGTGGTGGAATGAGAAGGCCATGCCAAGATGGCTGCTGGCAACAGAAACTGCCTGGCAACAGGCTGTGATTGGATGGTTTCAGAAACCACATGACAGCGGAGTCTTCCTGGCAACAGGTTGTGATTGGATGGTTTCGGAAACCACATGACAGCAGAGTCTGCTTGGCAACAGGCTGTGATTGGATGGCTTCAGAAACTGCCTGGCAACAAGGTGTGACTGTTGGGGCATAGATCGCCCCTTGACCAGATTGGCTGCCTGGGCTGTATAAGCTGTTATAGCAACTGAAATAAACGAGTCTGCAGGTTGCTTGCCTCAGGTCTGCTTTCACCCAACTCCCAGGGTCTGTGTGGAGACTCCGCGTCTCTTGCCCCCACCACGCTCCTCCTCCCAGAAACAAATCCACTGCAACAAAAACTGATCGAGAAAATGAGAAAAAAGATTTTCCAATCTGAGGATGAGAAAGAACACATCTGTTGCTCCCCCTCTTCATGGAGGAACGACACCAAACCCTGCCTAGGCTTCCTATCTGAGTCATGGCACCATTATGTCGCTCCCCCTCTTCGTGGAGGAACGACACTAAACCCTGCCTAGGCTTCCTATCCGAGTCACGGCACCATTATGTCGCTCCCCCTCTTCATGGAGGAACGACACAGGACCCTGCGCTGTTCTTTCGTCTGCTCGGCCCTCCCCGGGTTTGCTGCTGGTTCTTCCCGGGTTGGCTACTGTCCCTTCCACCTCCGTGGAAGGGTGGTTCCCCCTGCCACATTCCCCACTTCCGCAGGGGAGCGGCACACCGCCGGCCGGCTCTCTCGGGGGCTGCACAGGTGTTCCCTCAGATGTTCCCCTTAGATGTTCCCTGGTGCATGCCGTCTCTCTCCTCCTTTATAGTCCTCCTCTGCCAATCCCAACTCGGCTGCCCACACGCCGAGTATGCTGCTCTCCTCCAATCAGGAGCAAGTCCTACAGTTTATTAGCTGAACTGGAGGCAGCTGTGTAGAAGCTGTTTTCTTCTCTCCCAGCGCCATATTGTGGGAGAGCAGATGCATAGAATAAGTCTTAATTCCAGTAACTTAGTCTAGTCCGAGTTGCTCCCAGTTGCTCCCCACACACATCTTCCCAATTCCAACAGTCTTTAAACAACAAGAGAGTACCACGAGCGACTTTCTACCAACACATCTTACAAGTGGGAAACACTGAACAATTCCTTGAAAAACACAACTTAACAAAACTGACACAGGAAGAGATGGAAAGGCTGAGGCATTAAAGAAACAGAGCTGGCAGTCGGCAAGCAAGGGAGCTGGCTGAGGACCGAGGGGACAAGGGACGGAGTGGGAGGGGAAGCTGCATGGTAGCAGGGAATGTGGCAGCTCCTGTTTTCTTCTTTATATATATTTGCACACACAAACCAATTTATTTTCCTCTTCCCTCCCAATTACTGTTTTTAAAAGATTTATTTATTTGAAAGTCAGTGTTACAGAGGGAGAAAGAGAGACAGTCAAGGACAGAGAATTCTGTCCACTGGTTCACTCCCCAAATGGCTGCTACAGAAGCCAGGACCCAGGGGCTTCTTCTGGGTCTCCCATGTGAGTGGCAGGGACCCAAGCCCTTGAGCCGTCCTCCACTGCTGTCCCAGGCCCATCAGCAGGGAGCAGGATTAGAAGGGGAGCAGCTGGAGCTCATATTGGATGCCAGTGTCACAAGGGCAGCAGTGCAACCTGCTGTGCAACGACCCCGGCCTCCAGTTCCTATGTGAAATGCTGGGTGCTGCTGTAATCTATTCTTACAGTTACTCTTGGCTGGCTGTGGTTTCATCAGCTTCTCGAGTCTATTAGATTATGTCTTTTGTCAAATTCTGGACATTTTCAGCTCTTGTTTCTTTGAATGCTTTATCACCAAGCATTCTTTTTCTGAAACTTGAAGACCACAAATATTAAATGTTTTGTGATGGTCTCACCAGGCTCCTGAGGCTCTTTTCATTTTTTTCAATCTATTTTCTTTTGTTGTTCATATTGAGTAATTCCTACTAATTTATCCTCAAGTTCACCAATTCTTTCCCACAATCTCCATTCTTCTCCTAAGCCCACCCAGAGAGTTCTCAATTTTGGGTATTATAATAATTTTTAGTTCTGAAGTTTCCACTCTGTTTCTTTGCTGAGACTTTGCATTTTTTCAACTATTTCAACATAATTGCGTCTAAGATCATCTTTAGGTGCTAGCTGTTTCAGACTCCAGCATCTGTGTCATCATGGTGTTGGCACTTGTTAATTATCTTTTCTCATTTAAAGTTACACCTCTCCTGGTTCCCAGTGTGAGCAATTTTGGAGCATTTTTAGAACTGCTGGGGACGCTGGTTCCTATTTTAGCAAGCAGCTCAGACCCAGAACACATGGCCTGGCTGTGGACTGAATATCAGTTTCGTTTTCCAAGTCTTTACAGTGTTACTCTGGTCTGCATGGAGGCAAACATGAGACTTGCGCATTGCCCCCACCCGTTACTGCTCAAGGCTTCTGCTGCTGATCTGGGTCAGTTCCAAGCCTGGGCTGCTCTGGGAGGGCGGGGGAGGGGGCCAGGACCTCCCACAGATTCCAGGGATCCTTTCCCAGCTCTCTGCTTTCCACCACCCTCCCTCCACTCTCCAGGTGGGAAGGAAGAGGAGCTGCCTCTGTTGCCTGTGCTTGGTGCAGGCTGGGGATGGCTGACGGGACGCTGACCCACAGCCTCCTTGCTGATGTCCACTTTGGGCAGGGCAGGGATGGCTCCAGCCTGCGGTGTCACTGGGCAGCCTGGGAAGTGGGAGGAGCGTGTCTCTGACCTGCCTCCTGGTAGCGCATCGCGAGGGCAGTTGACAGGATTGGGCCGACCAGTGCGCGCGCGGTCAGCATCTCTTTAGCAGGGTATGGCTTCTGCCAGCAGTGGAGCAGCTGCAGTCAAGAAGGTCCCTCCCCAGGCCTCCAGCTGGAGAAAGTGGGGTTTTCTTCTTCTCTCTCTCTTTTTTTTAATTGTATTTATTTATTTATTTGACAGGCAGAGTGGACAGTGAGAGAGACAGAGAGAAAGGTCTTCCTTTGCCGTTGGTTCACCCTCCAATGGCCGCCGCGGCCGGCACACCGCGTTGATCCGATGGCAGGAGCCAGGTGCTTCTCCTGGTCTCCCATGGGGTGCAGGGCCCAAGGACTTGGGCCATCCTCCACTGCACTCCCGGGCCACAGCAGAGAGCTGGCCTGGAAGAGGGGCAACCGGGACAGAATCCAGCGCCCCGACTGGGACTAGAACCCGGTGTGCCAGCACCGCAAGTTGGAGGATTAGCCTAGTGAGCCGCGGCGCCGGCACTCTTCTTCTCTAAATCTTGCCTATTAAGGTTAAAGTCTTCTCCAGCACTGAAGCTGGGATATACAAGGGGTGGGGGGGAAGGAAAATGAAGAACTAAAAGAAAAATAACACAAAGGGACTTCATCGCTGGGTCCCCTCAAGTTCGAGATCCCCAGTCTGTCTTCTTTTTCTACCTTTCGGAATCATCATCAGCATCTTCTAAGTTCTTTCCTTCCTTCTTCCTTTCCTTTCCTTCCTCTTTTCTAAAGATTTATTTATTTATGTGAAAGGCAGAGTGGCAGAGAGAGAGGAGGAGATGAAGGGAGTGATCTTCCATCCACTGGCTCACTCTTCAAATGGCTGCAACAGCCAGGGCCGGGCTAGGCTGAAGCCAGGAGCCTCATCTGGGTCTCCCATGTGGGTGGCAGGAGCAGCATCCGCTGCCTTCCCTGGCGTGAGAGCAGAAAGCTGAATCAGGAGTCAGAAGCAGAACCAGGACCTGAACAGGCACTCTGATATGGAAGGCAGGCATCCAAGCAGTGGCTTAACCCACTGTGCCCCAACACCAGCCACCCAGAATCTTCCATCAGTCAGTACTTTCTCCAGGACTTCTAGCTATAGTTAGCACGAACAGGGTGGAATGTGTTTACTCAATCTTACCCAGAATGGGAATTTAAGTTACAGAAATATTCAAGAAGAATTGGGGCTAAATTAAAGTCGGAGTTCCAGTTGTCTAGAGGTTGATACTATGAGCATGAAGACCTTTCTGGGGAGAGAGTGAAGGATCTGTGTGTGCATAAAGGATAGCAGTAGCTTCGCAGCCGGCGCCAGGATCCCCCTCCGTGTCCCCGCCTGAACCCCGCCAGTGGCTTCCTGCTGGGCTCTGTCAAGAGGGGGCCTAAGAAGAGACTGGAGACCAGGAAGTGGAGAGGTATTACTCCCTTTGCCAGCCTGGGTGGCATCTAACCCCAGCTGCAGCAGGCGATCAGCCTCAGAGCGATGGCCAATCAGTGGCTCCCCCTTCAGCCCTCCTAAGCCCACCAGTGGGGGACCCTCCTGCAAGCTGCTAGGTTCTAAGCACCCCTACCCCCTACCCACCCTGATTTCCTTTGCTCCTCCCCTCTTAGGGGTGGCAGGTGGTTCCAGGAGTTATTTACTATCTCCTTGTGCATAAAAAAAAAAAAAAGCCTTCTCCTTTCTCATTTTCCACTCTCTGATCCTTGTGCATTATAGAATTTCCCATCTTAAAATTCATCCTCCTGGGGACAGTATGGGGGGGGAAGCCATTGTAACCCATGAGTCGTACTTTGGAAATTTATATTCATTAAATAAAAGATTAAAAAAAAAATTCATCCTCCTGAAAATACTGAAGAGGATTCCATTTTCCTGATACAGATTCTTACTTGAATTTGAAAAAAGCCTCGTTGCTTTTCTTCACCAAGAGAAATTTTAACAAATGGGTTTGAATGGCATAGAGGCAAACATCAAGAATGACTGACTCAGTGACGTCCATCTGGGAGGGATGACATGTGCAAGCAGCACTAACAGGGGTCACTGCCCATTGGTGCCACCGGGCACGTCACTTATCCACCTCATCCAGCTGAGGCCTGAATGGGCCTTATGCACGTGTGAGCAAGCTGACCATCTCCAAGTTTCTTTCCAACTTGAAACTATCAGTTTTTCTTTAAGAAATCACCAGTAAAACCACCTGGGCCTGGAGTTTTCTATGTGGGAAGACTTTTATAATATTATAATTTCTTTAATAGAGTGTTTCCCTCATATTTGTACAATTTGTGTAAATCACAATTTTCTTCCATTTCATATAAATTTTCATCATATTCTCTTCCACGTTTTTAAGACCTGCCTGTAAGACAACCCTTCCAGAATTTCTTTTCATTCCTGATAACCTCTCTCTCCCTCACACACACAGACACATACCTAGCAATTATCAAGTTTGTTGATCTTTACAAAAAGCCAGCTTTTAGATATGCTATTTGTCTGTTTTTCAACTTCACTGATTTTAGCACTTGCCTTTCTGTATTTCCTTCCTTTTACTTGCTTTAATTTGCTCTTCATTTTCTAGTTTTCTCAAATGCAATGAACATTTTGGCCATTGTTTTTAGACCATTCTTTTTCTAACAGGAACATCTGATGCTACAGATCCCCCTGAAGCACCACTCGGAGTTGTCTCCCACCAACATTTTCAGTGTTGGAATACAGTTTACTTAAATTCACAATCATTAATCTCAGGTGTGCGAGTGCATGAGCTGTGACAAGTGCAGACAGTTATATGAGGGGTCTTCAAAAAGCTCACGAAAAGTGAGTATTAGTGGAAAACTGCACAGATCTCAAAAGTTTTCTACACCAAAGTCAACTGTTCTTTTAATTCCATCTGTCTACGACTGCCTGAAGCTCTCATACAAGCTGCACCGCGATCGCCTGGAATGGTTCCATCCCCTGAAAGGCTCCTTCTTGCTGTTGTGCTGTCAGTGCCATCCCCCTGGCCCTGGCAATGTGGCTTCTTCTACTCTAGAATTCACATTCGTGGAACCCTGTAGTGAGGAGTCTTCCGCATCTTTGTTCCCTTAGCACAACACTTCTGGAACTTGCACAGGCTGCCGTGTGTATTCCTATTTTTTTTTTTTTTTTAACAGGCAGAGTGGACAGTGAGAGAGAGAGAGAGACAGAGAGAAAGGTCTTCCTTTTGCCGTTGATTCACTCTCCAATGGCCGCTGCAGCTGGCGCACCGCACTGATCCGAAGCCAGGAGCCAGGTGCTTCTCCTGGTCTCCCATGGGGTGCAGGGCCCAAGCACTTGGGCCATCCTCCACTGCCTTCCCGGGCCACAGCAGAGAGCTGGCCTGGAAGAGGGGCAACGGGGACAGAATCTGGCGCCCCGACTGGGACTAGAACCCGGGGTGCTGGTGCCGCAAGGTGGAGGATTAGCCTATTGAGCCACGGCGCTGGCCCCTAGTTTCTTTTATTGCCAATGGTTCTCTGAGGCAGTGGTTCACTCTGGTCACCCATTTACCAGTTCTTAGTTCAGGGATCTTATGAGTAAGGTGTTGCACACTTGAGTGCAAGTCTTTGTGCAGACATACACATTCATTTCTTTTGGAAGCTGCCTCATAGGAGAGGTGTATATTTAGCTTTAAGAACACTTGCCAAACTGTTTGCCAAATAGGTGGCACCAGTCCAAGTTTCCACCAGTGAGGCTCAGGGCTTCACCAGTGCTCAGTGTGGTCACACTTGCTCATTTCAGTTAGTCGTTCTGCAGCGTGTATGGTGGTAGCCCACGGTGCTTTTATTTTAGGATTGTTCCAGCGATCATGATGTCCAGAATTTTTTCATGTTCTTTTGCATCTCTATATTTTTTAAATGTTTCATGCAATGACTTTTATTCAGTATATTCTTTTTCCCTCTATTCAATCCTTTCTTTTTTCAGCTTTCAAAAGTTTTATTTTTACTGACAATTAATAACTGTAGGGGCCGATTCTGTGGCATAGCGGGTTGAAGCCATGGCCTGCAGTGCCGGCATCCCATTTGGGCATGGGTTTGAGTCCCAGTTGCTCCACTTCTGATCCAGCTCCCTGCTATTGTGCCTGGGAAAGTAATGGAAGACGGCCTAAGTCCTTGGCCTCTGTACCCACATGGGAGACTCCAAGGAATCTCCTGGCTCCTGGCTTTGACCTGGCCCAACACTGGCTATAGAAGCCATCTGGGGAGTGAAGCAGCAGATAAAAGATTCTCTCTCTTCCTCCTTCTCTCTGTAACTCTGCGTTTCAAATAAATAATAAATCTTAAAAAAAAAAAGTTAACTGTGTATTTGTGATGCTTTGACCCAAATACACATTGTGGAAGAGCAAATCAGGTTAACTGATATACCTATTACCTGTCATATTTACTTTTCTGTGGTCGGAACAGTTAAATTTAATTACATACATTATAATTGCCTACAGTCATCTTGCTGTGTCACAGATCACCTGAACTTATGCCTCTTGTCCAACTAAAACTTTTTATCTCTGGCCAACCTCTCTCCTTTCCCCATCCTGGCCCCCAGTCTCTGACAACCTCCATTTCTTAATGCTGCTTTGTCTTGTATGTTTTTCGACAGCAGAGTGACAGTGGAGAGAGAGAGAGACAGAGAGAAAGGTCTTCCTTTGCCGTTGGTTCACCCTCCAACGGCCGCCGCGGCGGTTGCACTGCGGCCGGCGCACCGCACCGATCCGATGGCAGGAGCCAGGAGCCAGGTGCTTTTCCTGGTCTCCCATGGGGTGCAGGGCCCAAGCACCTGGGCCATCCTCCACTGCACTCCCTGGCCACAGCAGAGAGCTGGCCTGGAAGAGGGGCAACCGGGACAGAATCCGGCGCCCCGACCGGGACTAGAACCCGGTGTGCCGGCGCCGCTAGGCGGAGGATTAGCCTAGTGAGCCGCGGCGCCGGACAGACAACCTCCATTTCACTACCTGTTTCTACGGGGCTGAAAGGTTTGGAGTCCCTGCAGTTTTTGTCTTTCTGTGCCTGGTTTATTTCACTTAAGATTCACGTATGGGTTGCAAGTGACAGAATTGTTCTTTTATTTACTTATTTATTAAAGATTTTATTTATTTATTTGACAGGTAGAGTTACAGATAGTGAGAGAGAGAGACAGAGAGAGGTCTTCCTTCCGTTGGTTCACTCCCCAAATGGCCACAACAGCTGGCGCTGCGCCAATCTGAAGCCAGGAGCCAGGTGCTTCCTCCCAGTCTCCCAGGTGGATGCAGGGGCCCAAGGATTTGGGCCATCTTCCACTGCCCTCCCGGGCCACAGCAGAAAGCAGGATTGGAAGAGGAGCAGCTGGGACTAGAACCAGCGCCCATATGGGATGATGGCACCACAGATAGAGGATTAACCTACTGTGCCACAGCGCCGGCCCTAGAATTGTTCTTTTTAAAGGCTCAACAGTATTCCATTGCATATGTAGCACATTTTCTTCACCCAGTCATGCCAGTGGACACTTAGGTTGATTACATATATTGGCTATTGTGACTAATGCTACAATAAACACAGGAGTGCAGTCACCTCTTCAAAATACTCATTTCAATTCTCTTGGGTATGTACCTAGAAATGCTGGGCCATATGGTAATTCTGCTTTTAGAATTCTGTTTTCCAAGATGGCTATATTAATTTGTACATTCCCAAGCGTACAAGGGTTCCTTTTTCTCCGCATCCTCACCAATGCTTATATTTTATCTCTTTGTTACCAACCATCCTAACATGTGGGAGGCAATCGCTCATTCTGGCTTTAATTTGCATTTTTCTAATGAGTGATATTGAACATTTTAAGATTTATTTATTTATTTGAATGGCAGAGTGACAGAGAGAGAGAAGGAGGGAGGTGACATAGAGAGAGAGAGAGAGATCGATCTTCTACCTGCTAATTTATTCCTGGCTGGGCCAGGCCAAAGCCAGGAGCCTGGAACTCCATCTGGGTCTCCTTTGTGGGTGGCAGGGACCCAAACACTTGGGCCATCCTCTGCTGCTTTCCTGGATGCATTAGCAGGGAGCTGGATCAGAAGCAGAGCAGCTGGGACACAAGCTATCACTCCAATAAGGATGTCAATGTCATAAGTGATGGCTTAACCCACTGGGCCATAATGCTGGCCTCACTGTATTTGTTGGCCACCTGTATGTCTTCTTTTGAGAGATGTCTACTCAGGTCCTTTGCCTATTTTTAATTGTGCTATTTTCTTTTATTGTGTAGAGTATTAGTCCCTTTCTGTTGCTATAACTGGGGTAACTTCCTAAAGAAAAGAGGTTTGTGCCACCAAGGTGAGGCACTGACGGTACTTTGCTCTGGTGAGGACCCTTCGGTGGTCATCACCACAATGGCAAGAGTACACGTGGAAGGAAAAGGCCACATCTTGAAACAGGAAGCCGAAAAACGATTCAGGACTTGGCTCACTCTTGTAACCACTCTCCCAAGAGCTCAGGGGTCCTGTGACAGCTCCCCCAGTGGTCTGAAGACCTCCCACCAGGCCCCACCTCTTCCCACACTGACACACCCAGGATCAAGTTCCCAACACACCAATAGTTGGGGTTCACATTCAAACCACATCCAAACCACAGCAAGTAGTTCAGATACAAGTTGGGTATGAGCTCATCTCCCGATGTAAGATTTTGCAAATACTTTCTCTCCATCTGTGGGCCGTCTTTCCACTCTGGTGTTTCACTGACTGTGTTGGATGCAATCCTAACTGGCCTATTTTTGCTTTTGTTGTTCTACATCTTCCTTCATGAAGTAGCTGCTAAAACGTTTTGACGATTTCTTCTTGGCTTATTTTCTCATCACTGAGTTATGACATCTCTTTATATATTCTGTATACCAGATGCTAGGGTTTGAACATGATTTGGCTCCTGAACACACGCAAGTCATAATTCAATAGTACTAAGAGCATGGCAACTTCCTCGAAATATGGTGTCTAGGAGGTGAGCCTAGTGGGAGGTCCTCAGGTCACAGGGACATGTGATCAGAAGATGGCATAGGTAGAGGTTTGGTTATAAAAGCCAAGTTGGGCTTAGCCTCTCTGCTTCCTGACTCACTATGTGACCCCTGCCTCCACATGTGCTCCACACTGCAATCTGCCACCTTCATCAGATGCCAAGTCAATGGGAACACTTCATCTTGGCTTTGAACCTCATTACTCATAAGTAGCTTATCTCAGGCATTTTGCTGTAGTAACAAAGAGCTGATACATAAGATTTTATCATATACATGCTTTGAGAATACTTTTCCCAGTCTATGACTTGTTTTTTCATTTTCTAAGAAGTGTCTTTTTTTCCAAGTGTTGCTAATTTTGATGAAGACCAACTGATCTATTTTTTTTTCTTTTATAAGTCATACAATTTGAGACCTAATTAAGAAATACTGTCTAGCCCAAGGACATAAAGGCTTTCTTCAAGAAGTTTTATACTTTTAGTTCTTACATTCAGGACTAGGATCCATTTTGAGTTAAATTTTCTATACATTATGAGGTAGGGTCATACATATAATAGATAATAGATAATATATATATTTAACATATGGCTATCAGTTTGTTCCAGCACTGTTCAGTGAAAACGCTGTTTGTTTTGTCTACATTGAACTGACTGGGCTGCCTCCTTGGTTGAAAATTAACTAACCCTACAAAAGAGTTTTGGAGAGTTCCTGGTTAGGGGGAATGTTCAGTGAAGCACCTAAGGCACTCCTTGGGATGCTTGCATCCCTTGTCAGATGCCTGGGTTCAGGTCCAAGCTGTGCTGTCAATTCCAGGCTTCTGCAAATGCAGATCCTAGGAGGCCGTAGATCATGGTTTAAGTATTTTGGTCTCTGCCACCCACAAGGGAGACCTGGAATGAATTCCTGGCTCGCAGCCCCAGCCGAGCCAGGAACCCAGTCATTGCAGACACTCCCCAGTGCTCCTGCTTTATCTTTTTTAAAAAAGATTTATTTATTTATCTGAAAGTCAGAGTTACAGAAAGGCAGAGGCAGAGAGAGAGAGAGAAGTCTTCCATCTGCTGGTTCACTCCCCAGATGGCTGCAATGGCTGGAGCTGCGCTGATCTGAAACCAGGAGCATCTTCTGGGTCTCCCACGTGGGTGCAGGGGCCCAAGACATAGGACATTTTCCACTGCTTTCTCAGGCCACAGCAGAGAGCTGGATTGGAAGTGGAGCAGCTGGGACTCGAACCAGCAGGCATATAGGATGCTGACATTGCAGGCAGCAGCTTTACCCGCTATGCCACAGCGCCAGCCCCCTGCCTTACCTTTTAATTCCATTTTCTATTAACTTTTTAAAGCTCCCTCGTCCAGGTGTGGCCTACTTATGGACCCTTTTTTCTTTATCCTTGACCTATGTGCTTAAGTTTACCCAAATACCACATATCCTGATTAGGGTAGCTTTACAGGAAGACTTTAGATAGTGTAAATTCTGTAACTTTGTTCTTTTTCAAAATTGCTTTGGATTTTTTTCAGATCTGTTGTATTCCTATTACAAATTTAGAACTAGCTTGTCAGTCCCAACAACAAAAAAGTCTTCTGGGATTGCAACTGCGATTGCTTTGAGTCTACAGAACGATCAGGAGAGAATTCACACGTTAACCACGGTAAGTCCATAGGCATAGCACGTCTTTCCAAGTTTGATGTTGTACTTCAATTTCCCTCAGCAATGTGTAGGTTCCACTGAAAGTAATTTAACATTTTGTTAAAATTTTCAAGTATTTCATTTTTATGCTACTGCAAAAATATTACTTTTATGTTTTTTTGAAATACAGCTGATAAACGATACAACCGACCCTATTTAAAGTGTGTAAGTTTGATGCACTTTGACATCTGTGTACATCAGTAAAGCCATCACCTCAAGTAAGAGGATAAATGTACCCATTTCCCCTAAAGCCTTTCCGAGCCCCCCTGTTATTCTTCCTGGCTGCCCTTCGTAGTCCGACCCTTTGCACCTCTTCTCCAGGCAACCACTGGCCCTTCCATCACTAGGGGATAAAATGTCCTATGTACATGGAATCACAAAGCGTGTTCTTTTTCATCTTGCTTCATTAAGTTAGCATAGTGAGTCTGAGAAACATCCGCAGTCCTGCATGGACCAACAGCTCATTTTCATTCATCGCAGAGTTGTGTTCTACAGCTGCATGGATGTACCACAACTGTTCATTCATGGACGCGTTGATAGGCATTGTTTTCCCTCCAGTTTTTGGCCATTAAAACAAGAACTGTTAAAAATATCAGCGTATAAGTGTTTGTGTAGCCGTTATGTTTTTATTCCTCTAGGGTAAACGCCCACAGGAAGAATGGCTGGCTCAAATGGTAGATACATGTTTAACATTTTAAACTCCAAACCTTTCAACATGGTTGTGCCCAGATTGCTTATCACAGCAAAGTGGAAGGGCATGCAGGCCACCATGATCTGTTTCACATCTTCCCTGTGCATGTCCACGGTGGAGATTATTCACTCATCAAATATTACTCAGTAACTGTTGAATGTAATGAACTGGGTGAGGCTCAGATACCAACGAAGAAGCCAGCCAGGGTTTCTGCCCTATGGTGATCACATTCTATAAGAAAGAGAAGATACTAAATAACATAACTCATAATCAATGATTTGACTGCACAAAGGTACCGAATGCTCTGACTGTACTAGATGGAACTTTCAGAAACTTCTCTGATATGGCAACACCGAGCTGAGTGTCAAAGGACGACAGGAGTGAACAATATAGATATAATCCCAACAGACTATGATAAAAGCCACAAAAAAGCAGATCTAGGTTCCAACATAACTCCCCTGAAATGTATATTTTTATTAACTAATTAATTCACTTATTCAATCAGTTTAAGTCTGCTCCCAATTCCTGTAAACCTGGGCATTGGCATAGAAACAGGATTTCAGGTGGCTGGCGCTGTGGCACAGTGGGTTAAAGCCCAGGCCTGCAGCACCAGCATCCCATATGGGCAGTGGTTTGAGTTCCGGTTGCTCCGCTTCTGATCCAGCTCCCTGCTAATGCACCAGGGAAAACAGCAGAGGATGGTCCACATTCTTGGGCCCCTGCATCCATGTGGGAGACCCGAAAGAAGCTCCTGGCTCCCGGCATCGGACAGACTCACCTCTGGTCATGGTGGCCATTTGGGGAGTGAACCAGCAGAAGGAAGATCTCTCTCTCTCTGTCTCTACCTCTCTCTGTAACTCCGTCTTTCAAATAAATAAAATAAATTTTTTTTTTTTTAAAAAAGCAGGAATTCAGGGAACCATCATCTTCTGCTCTTCTGGATTAATGCCAAACTAAGTGCCCTCTGCAGGAGAGAAAAGTCCCTCCTAACTAGCAAAAGCAGCAGTCTCTTTCACATGTCATAACAGAACTGTGACTGGAATAATTAAGATACTAGAATGTGAGGCCGGCACTGTGGCATAGTGGGTAAAGCCACCACCTGCAGTGCCGGCCTCCCATCTGGGCAGCAATTCGAGACCCAGCCGCTCCACTTCCTATCCAGCTCTCTGCTGTGGCCTGGGAAAGCAGTAGAAGATGGCCCAAGTCCTTGGGCCCCTGCACCCACGTGGGAGACCTGGAAGAAGCTCCTGGCTCTTGGCTTCAGATCGGCGCAGCTGCAGCAGATGGAAGACCTCTCTCTGCCCCTCTTTCTCTCACTGTGTAACTCAGACTTTCAAATAAATAAATAAATCTTTTAAAAAAAAGATACTAGTAATGCCAAAAACAACTTTACAAAGACCGTACAGCACCAATGGCAGCCCTGAGAGAATTTAGTTACGGGCACACAATACAAGGATGGCTCCAAGTGCTACTCGGGAGGCTCGGTGGTCACTGACTACTGCACCCAGTGTCAGATCTTGGGGAGGACAGCACAGTGGCAGCGAAACTTGGATTGAAGTCTCAACTCTTCCCCTTACGGGCTCTGTGATGTTAGGCAAACTATCTAACCTTGCGGCCTTTCAGTATAGCGTGAGGAAAAACAAGTCACGCCCCGTGGTTGTGGGGCCAGATCTCTGATAGGAACGCAGTGCGCTGTTCACTGGCGGTGGCTGTCAAAGCTGTTCCTCCCACCGATTCACGAGACGTTGCTTCCCGCTCTCGCACCCCTGAGATGCATTCCTTTTCTAGAATAACGTGGAACCTAACACAGGCAGCCACCGGGAAGAGGAGGTCAGTCCAGCTCCGGCTCTCCACGTGCTCACAAGCACGCTCCTTCTTGTTGGGGACAAACTCGAGTTGGAAAGAGAACCCAGGTTTCAATACGCAGGAGACCTCAACCTTGCTTTTGTCACAAACGCTAACACACAGTGGCGTCTGAAGTCATTCTATGCAATGAAGAGGAAAAACCTTGATGGACAAGGAAGTGGTTTTCGCACCACGACTTAGCTAGAGAAGAAAGTAGGCCATTTACCTTCCTAAAACTGGCAGTGCCAGCTTATTAAATGTCATCCACAACCCTAGACGTGACGTGCAACTCAGCTCTCATGAATGGGCGCCAGAGAGATGAATGGAGGCTTCATTAGCTATTCTCATGGCTTTCACTGGCCAGCAGCGACATCAACCTAAGTCTCACCCAACAGTCTACCATGTAACAGCTTCCTCGACACTCAGAGAGAGCTCTATGAAAAACACTGCGAAAACTTGAGCGCCTGACTTTTGCTGGTGATTGCGGTGATGGTGTTGGTGTGATTATTTCTTCCCCTTAAAAGCCACCTCAATTTAAGAGTCTGAATGTGTGACAGATACAGTTTCATTTAATACAATTTCACGATTTCTTAGGAATTCCAAAGGCAACACATTCTGCGTGACGTCAGTAAAATGGTCACCTCCCTTCCCAAGGCAGGGCAGCCCGAGGGGGGCGGTTTCTCGGGTCCGCTCCGCGCCGGCGGTGGCTGACTGTGGCTCTCACACTCGCTGGCCTTCGGTCTGATCCCGCCGTTCCGCCCTGCCGCCGCGGGCCCCTGCCTGTCGCCATCCTGCATCTCGTGGACATCCTCCCTGACAGGCCTCATCAATTCCTAGTGCTTTTCACCAGGCCCGGGCTCTGGCACTTTCCCCTGGGGAGACCTTTCCTGGTCTCCATACTTAACCCCTGAACCCAGCCTAATCCATCAGCCACAGTGAATGAACGGTGATAGGGACTGTTTCTCCCTGAAGACAGGCAGCCGGCCCCTCCGCTTCAAACTCCGAGGGCCAGGAGAGCCATCAGCAGGGCCTGCTTTCTGTTTGTCAGTGCCGCCGGCCTCGGCGCTGACTGATGTTTTTATTGTTGCGCTGCCCCAGCTGCTCAAGGCAGGGGACGTGCTATCCGAGGAGACATCGATTAAGTGCCTGTTAAATGCTCTCGATGCGCTTTGGAAAATGTCCCCTGGGACTCTCCCTGGGAGTTCCCCAGACCGGGGGCGCGCACAGTTAGCATTATGGGAGAAGGTTCCCATGGTTCACCCGCGGAGGCCTGGCTTCCGAGCTCTGCCAGGAGATTTCAGACGCTGGGAGTGCACAGAGGGCAATGGAACGCTCTGTTTTAGGAAAGACAAGCCGTGGCTGGCAGCGCACGGCAAACACGTAAACATACTGCGTGCGCGCTCCTTACCTCGTAGCCGAACTGCAGCTCGTCGGAGGTCAGCATGATGATGTCATCGTCGATGGCCAGCACGGCCTCCGTCTCGATCTCATCGTACGGGAAGAAGCGGTTGCTCAGCTTGTTCTCAGCGGTCCTCACGACTTTTAACGGGACCCGGATTTTGGGCCAGAGAGACTCTGGAAAAAGGACAAACAAGGTACTTACTACTCTCCCACCGCCCGAGAGATGACGTGGTGGTGAAGGCATCGTGCCCCAAATGAGACGCCAGAGTCAACTGATGCCCCGGCCCTCATCACATCCAGGGAGTGAGTCCACGGTGCGAATGTCGCGTTTCCATGGCAACACACACACACACTCACACCTCTCTAGAACCTCACAACACGACTAATTCTCACTGCTGTCTTACCGCAGAAGGAATTAAGTGGCTTCCACTCCCAACTGAGAGGCAGAGAGAAGCAAAATGACTGGGCCAAGCCCACGGCGACAGGAAGAAGAGAGTGGTACACCTCGTTCTCAGGACCACGGCTTTGCTGTCAGAATGCAACTACTTCCGGTAAATACTCTGCAAGACGCTCAGGCTGGCACACCTGCAGCCGGGCCAGGACACAGAGCACAGGCTGAAGACGCTGCCCGCCGTGCCCACCCCCACAGTGCGAGGACCGTCCGCGGTCCGTGCTGCTAAGCCCCCCCCCCCCCAAGAGGACGTTCACTGAATGAGTGTGGCTTTCTTAACCTGGCACTTTATCCCCTCCCCCGGATTCGCTAGGTTCGGTTTCTCATCACGACCAATTTACAGAGTAAATATCAGATTTCTATGTCCAATTATGTGGGATTTCCTAGTGTGCCAAAGCAACACCGCCCCGCCCCGTGACTTGCCGTCCGGCTCCCCCCCTCCTACTTTAAAATGACTGGGGCCATTTAACCGCAGCTTCTTTGTTTTTGAATGTTGCATTTAGCACAGCATGAAATTAATACCCCCTTGGCATAGCACCCAGGTCTGTAGACCTCAGGGCCCCCCACAGGGAAAGTCTGCCCTTCACACCTTTGTCAAGTGAGAACAGGAGAGCCGGGTGTGGGCCTTAGAGCCCCCCGATGCTGTGCTCACCCTGTCGCAACGCTGAAGGAGAAGTAAGCCAGGCAGAGTCAAAAGGAGAAAAGGCTGTCTCAGCTGACGGCAGGTAAGAGAGCTCACCTCTGCCTGTTTCCCAGTGCTGTCCTCGGGTGCTCCCTCAGTCTTGGAAGGGCTCTGTGCGAATGAGGGGCTCCGTGATTACAGAAGACATGTGCACAGTGCCTTAAAAAGGGGGCCAATGCCAACAGCAGCACCCCTTGGGAAAGGGCTGAACCAGAGACCAAAGAAATGGATCCCAGGGGCCGGTGCATTCCATTCAACAACAGCTAATTCCAGCTTCCCTGCTGGCATGCCATCCATAAATATCTTTGGAATAAAGGCATGGGCACATGACTGAGACTGGAGATCTGATTTCTGCATGATCTATGAGTTTTAAGTCCCTTTTTCTCAGGAAACGAATAAGTAGAGGGAGAGAATAAGCATATTCCGTACTCTATGGATGCACTGTCATTCAATCCTCCTGACAGCCCTAGAGGGCAGGAACTATTTACAAAGTGGAAATCGCATGGCTCAGAGGGGTTAGGTAACTTGCCCAGTGACACACAGCTAATAAATGATAGAGGACCTGTACCAGCCACTGCTTTGAGAATTGCATCTGTGTTTTTAGAGAACTGGAACAAAACTAGGAATATTTGACAACTGCCTCCAGCTATCATCCCTATTCTTGTTTTCCTCCCACTCTCTTCTGTAGAAAAATACAATTCTGGTCATATATCTACTGTTCTCAAATCCTTACAAAACAAGATTAAATGACAATATATAAAACAGGGTGAGTCACAGCCCTGGCTACTCAACCAGTGGTTCTGTAACCTTTTGGTTTCAGGATTCCTTTATACTCTTAAAAATCACTGGGAATCTCCAAGAGGTTCTGCTTACATGACACACACACACACACACACACACACACTCATCATTTACTGTATCAGAAATGCCAACTGAGGACACTGGAAAGCAGAGGGACCCACAGCACAGTCATTCCACCAGCCACTGAGTGACGACGTCACTCCCCATCGCGTGGACTCTGGAAGAATCCCACTGCGCTCTTGTAAGAGAACCAAAGAGCGGGAAAGGGAAGTGATGCCCTAGGAATATTACGAAAACAATTCAAGCTCCCGGGCCCCTGAAAGGGACAGGGATGGCCATAGTACCTGGCTCACACCTTCAGAAGGGCTGTGCTAGACTCTGCTGAGATTCGGGAAACGCCACAACTCTAGAAAACAGTCTGGAGGGTGGCACCTGAACCCAGGTCCTGTAGGATGCTTAAAGAAACAGCATGTCAGGGGCCGGCACCGTGGCTCACTTGGTTAATCCTCCGCCTGCGGCGCCGGCATCCCATATGGGCTCCGGGTTCTAGTCCCGGTTGCCCCTCTTCCAGTCCAGCTCCCTGCTGTGGCCTGGGAGTGCAGTGGAGGATGGCCCAAGTGCTTGGGCCCTGCACCCCATGGGAGACCAGGAGGACCTGGCTCCTGGCTTCGGATCAGCGCAGCTCCAGCCGTGGCGGCCATTTGGGGGGGCGAACCAAAGGAAGGAAGACCTTTCTCTCTGTCTCTCTCTCTCACTATCTAACTCTGTCAAATAAATAGATAAATAAGTAAAAGAAACAGCATGCCAGCTACCGACCCGCTGCCTCTCCACGTCAGATCCAGGCTTCCTGGCCTGCTGGGATGCTGGCACAGTGTGGAGCCGTGTCAGCAGAGAGCACGAGGGACACCCGGGAGGAAGCAGGAGGGAGGGGCGCTTCTTCCTGTTCCTGGTGCGCCTTCCTTACTTCCTGCTCTTGCAGGACTTGGCCAGCAGGCAGGCAGACGGTGGCAATAACCTCCTGCAAGTATACAGCACTGCTGGGGGCACTTGCCCGCAGGGTCTACGCACCCCAATCCCAGTGAATATTTTTAAAATTTATTTATTTATTTATTTTTAAAATATTTTATTTATTTATCTTGTAAGGTTTCTTCATTTATTTGAAAGTCAGAGCTACACAGAGGGGAGAGGCAGAGTGAGAGAGAGAGAGGTCTTCTATCTGCTGGTTCACTCCCCAGATGGCCACAACGGTCAGAGCTGTGCCGATCAGAAGCCAGGAGCCACAAGTTTCTTCCAGGTCTCCCACATGGGTGCAGGGGCCCAAGGACTTGGGCCATCTTCTACTGTTTTCCCAGGCTACAGCAGAGAGCTGGATCAGAAGTGGAGCGGCTGGGTCTCGAACCAGTGTCCATATTGGATGCTGACGCTTCAGGCCAGGGTGTTTAACCTCCTGCGCCACAGCGCCATCCCAAAAGATTTTATTTATTTACTTGAGAGGTAGAGTTACAGAAAGAGGGAGAGACAGAAAGAAAGGTCTTCCATCTGCTGGTTCACTCCCCAAATGGCAGCAACGGCTGAAGCTGGGCTGATCTGAAGCCAGGAGCCAGGAGCTTCCTCTGGGCCTCCCAGGAGCATGCAGGAGTTCAAGTGCTTGGGTTATCTTCCACTGCTTTCCCAGGCCATAGCAGGGAGCTGGATCAGAAGAGGGGCAGCCGGGACACTAATCGGCACCCATGTGGGAAGCCAGTGCCACAGGCGGAGGCCCAGCTCACTATGCCACAGCGCTGGCCCCAATCCCAGTGAATTTAACAGCACCCCTGCTGGCAGCTTCCAGTGAGTTCTATGAATGCCCCTACCAGCAAGTCAGCCCAGCTCCTCCAGGGTGGTTCCAGGTGAGCTCCCCTGAAGTGCCTGCCAGTTTACCAGGCAATTCCACACCCCCTGGGCAGCTTCCTGCGCAGTTCTGTGGGTGGCAGACAAATCCTGTTACAAGTTCAGAGCTAATTTTTCCTGTTCAAATTCCTATGTGGCTTCTGTCTGCTAGGTGAACCTTGACTAATACACTCTGGATATCAGACAGGTTATCAGGTGAAAAGGGACTTGTTCTCCACGGCCTCTGGAGTTAGAGCCATGACCAATGGCTGGCTGAACGCAACAGGGAAACTGGTTCAGACTCAAAAGCGTTACAAACTCTCTGACGGCATCAGCCGACATTCAATGCTTCAAGAACACACAGCTTTTACTTTAAATACACTCACTGAGGCCAGATTTCCACTTGAAACCAGGTGAGCGACTAAACAAAATGCCCCAACAAGAAGGCCAGGGATCCCACGAGGCAGTAACAGATCACAGAGAGAGAGGAAACAGCTTCAGAGCTTGGGTCCACCACTCACTAGCCACAGGACCCTGAACACGGCAACCACCGAGAAGTGCTTCGTAAGCTAGGAAGGAGGAATGAGGCCGTCTCCCTGCGCGGGCGGCCTGCCCACCACGCTGGAGACGCTGACCGCCTGGGGGCCGTGCTCTCCCTTCTCAGACTGTGTCTGTTTCCAGAACAGAGGATTCGCTTGGCCCTTGGCAAGTGGTGGTAAGGCGCTGCTTGTTAGAGCTGGTCTGTCACCAAGGCAACCCAGGGGCAGGCCCCCAGCGCAAGCCTTCCACGCTCACCTGTGATCACAGAACCCCTGCCCCGCTTCTCTAGACCCGAGAATGCCCTCACACGGTGATGGGACAGAGAATGGGGAGTTTCTGTCATGCGAGTTCCACGAGGCAACTGATAGGCCTTGTGTTTCCGCAGCGCGTGGAGGGGGCTGGCTGCCGCGGCTAAGTAGAAACGCGCCTGCGCTGTGTGGGTCCCGGACTTTCACTTGCGGAGTGTGTGCAGCCTGTCCGCCCCAGACAGCTTTCCACATTCTTCACCTACAGACACCCAGGAATCACTCGAGACAAGGTCCATAAAGAACTAACTTGCCCCCGTAAAGTCTTTGATGGGAAGATTTGAGAGCGCGAGGGAAGCCAGGCAGGACGACACAGGGTGCAGACGCAAATGTAGAGCGAGTCGCGGCTTTTTGAGAACTACCGTGACGTCTCCCTGCTCCGAGTCCGCTCTGACAAGGTGAGCCAGACTGTCACTGGCGACCCAGGCTCTGCAGGGAATCCCACGTGTTTGCACTGTTTCAAGCCAGACAGGCCTCCGAGAGGCGGAAGGCCTCGGTGCCGCGTCGGGCGGTCAGCGCCAGCACTGCTGTGACGGCCGTGCACAGAACAGCGCGTCCTGACGTGGCTCTGGGATTCTGGAAAGGCACGTTGGGAAAAAATGAGACCTGGAACAGGAGAGGGAGGAGACAGTGTGGGGCAGGAAAGAGGAATACAGATGAGGAAGAGGAGGTTGGTTTTCTTTCCTTCCCTAGGTTTTCTGTCTCTGAGCCCTTGACAAGGATCTAGTTCTGCATCACAGTCCCAGAGCAGAGCGCTGACAAAGCGTGATGATTCCCCTGCCACTACATGGCCGCCCAGGTAGGCACCAGGGGCTCGGTGCACGGGGCAGGCGCTCCGCATCCAGAGACACCTCACGGTGCTTCTGTCTGCCGTTCGTGGCTTTGTCCTTTAGGCAGACTGCTCTTCCAATCTGAGTTTTATCTTTCTTACTTTTGTAAAATGGGGACAGTAACAATTTCCTTATGGGTGGGTTGTAAGGACTGGGGAAAAACTGTCTAAAGCACTTCACACAGCTCCTATTCCCAGGACAGAAAAGGCACACAGTAAACAGCTACAGTCACGATGGACTGTTAGCATCTTCACAGAGGCTCCCAGTAAAGTGCTGTGGGCTCTACTCCCCTACTGGTAACTTGAACAGGCCTGCACAGATGGATGGGGGTGACCTCTCTGGATGAGAAGGAAGTCGTCAAAGCCAGAAATCTTCAGGCCCTAATTCTTGAGCTCCGCTTAGAAGGAGGTTGCTTTTCCTTTTTCCTTTGAATTCCACACGTAACAGCAAACCCCGATAGCTGTGTCTCATCCCGGGAGTCTGTGGCAGGCAGGCAAATGTCACTGTGCATCCATTCAAAGTAACCTGGAAAATGCGATTTTTCACATGTGTTGCTGAATTTATAAAAACCAACAGCTGAGCTAGGTGACATGAAAATGTCACAGTATGAGCTTTAGTCCTGCTCACAGAACTAAAGGAACTCTTTGTACTGAGGATTTGTAAACAAATACATTGATTAACGTTTTTCTCTCCCGTGCTGGGTGCCAAGTGAAATGTGAGCAAAGGGAATTTCTCCGCGACTTGGCACAGGTACTAGAAAATGCTCAAGGTGACCGAAGACGCCACAAGCCCGCCCTGCCAATCACTGCCGCACCCAGCCACCAAGGAAATGACCAGACCGCGTCCAAACAAACCAGAGAGCACGTCACCAATGCCTGACTTGCTCAGGGCATGGCTGGTGCCCAGGACCTTCACTCCCCACAGTCCCAGAATTCAGCTGGAAAGAAAGGCGGCGGCTGCTTCTACCTCTGGTTGCGAGGCCCATCTATCACGCCTGCCCATCCCCACTCTGCCTGCTAAGGACGAGCGGAACACAGCTTGAAGCCTGTGTGGAGGGGTTGCTCCTGGGGTCAACTCAGGGAGCTGAGTTACACCTACCTGCAGTGCACAGAGCAACGGCTCCAAGTTACTGGGGCCAAGCCAAATAACTCTGGACGCACCCAGCGTGGAAAGCGCAGAGTCGGGAGGGGAGGGCAGCGGCCCGCCTTTTCTTCCGCCAGAGCCTGAGACCGACATGACGAAAGCGCCCTGGAAATTTCTATGGCCTACTCTTAAGTATTTACTTAAATTTCAAACCCGGCAATTTAGACTTAACTGTAACCAAAAGAAAAAGCATTTGGTTAGGTTGGAGATTAAAAAAAAAAAAAAAAGTGGGAGTGGGGAGGTTTCTGCCTACATAATCCTCCGAGCAGCAGACACGTTAACCACAATATTTATTTTAGTAAATGTAGAGAAAGTGAAAAACATCATTTTTGCGCCTCTAATATTTCAAAGCCCTGGACTTACTTTTTTTTTTTTTTTTTTTTAAATATGTATGTGACTAATGCTATACACAAAAAATCAGATGCCTCTGCTGGCGTGGGGACCGGAGCTGACAGCCCCAATTACCAACTGAACAAACACCCCGCAGAAGATTAAGCACGCTTCACGTGATCCCCAAACAACCACACTGCCAGAGTCGGGAGCTCTGACTTAAACACCAGCCGGGCAGTTGTGACACGTGTCAACATTAGGACCTCATCAGCGAAGGGCTCTCTTTCCTCCCTAGAGCCAACAGATTTTAAAAATAAACTAAAATCTTGATCATAAAAGTAACCACTACATTTTAGCAGGCTCTACCAAAAATTAAAACTGAACACCCTACTCCCAAGCCTGGGCTTGCACTGCTGCCTTTAGAAAGAGCAAGGCAGAGGGAAAATCTCCTTTCTCGCAGTCTGCAATGATACCTGCCCGCCAGCAGGGACCCAAATCAGGTAAGTAGCTCAGCCCCCGGCCCTAGTGGCTGCCTGGGGCTGATAAGGCGAAGCCCCTTTTGCATTTAGCCCCAGAATTTGCAAACTCTGTCTGCGAGGGCAGGACTTCACTGGCCGGTGGCCACCGCATGCAGGAACACAGGCACAAGTGTGGACGCAGCAGGCCGGGAGCTGCCTTTGCCCGTCGGAGGAGAGGCCCACGCCTGCCTTCTGGAGCACGACCCAGTTTTTATAAATACCATCCAGCTCTCTTCTCTCTGGGGCAAAGTGACCAGCGCTGATGAGGCCAAGCCAACGGGCAGAGAGGCTTTCTCCAGGTTCCCGCCCACATCGCCCTCAGAATCTCCTCCATCAACCTTTTCCCTCCTTTGCTACTCTCTTCCTCCCTTCCCAGGTGCTGCCGACATCTTTCGCTTCTGCCTCTTTTCCTTAAAAAAAGAAAAGAGCAGCAATTATGCCTCAGGGCATGGTGTAGGACCTTCATTTAAAAGAGTTATTTTGGGGCTGTGGCTTAGCGGGTAAAGCCGCCGCCTGCAGTGCCAGCATCCCATATGGGCACTGGTTTGAGTCCTGGCTGCTCCACTTCCGATCCAGCGCTCTTCTGTGGCCTGGGAAAGCAGTAGAAGATGGCCCAAGTCCTTGGGCCCCTCTACCCATGCGCGAGACCTGGAAGAAACTTGTGGCTCCTGGCTTCTGATTGGCGCAGCTCTGGCCGTTGTGGCCATCTGGGGAGTGAACCAGCAGATGGAAGACCTCTCTCTCTCTCTCTCTCTGCCTCTCCCCTCTGTGTAGCTCTGACTTTCAAATAAATAAATAAACCTTAAAAAAAAAAAAAAGAAATAGTTTATCTGTTCCAACTATAGTTCCCTAAATCCAAAAGGAAAAGTACATGGTTCTTTCAGAAAACAAAATCCCACTGAGTACAACTTTTCAAATTTAGCAGGAGGAACTAAAAGATTTTCTTGTGGCAAATTTCTGACTTCCAGCCTTGACTCTGGATCTACCAAGGTATTCTGGGGCTGGCTGCCTATCCCTCCATCAGCATAACCAACGAAAAGGGGGCAAGCCATAAAAAGCGCAGATACTACTGTCAGGCAATAAACCAGGCCTTATCGGTGACAGTGGTGCACATTACAAACTTCAAACTCATTCCTCACTCTAATCCATCAGAAACTTCCTGGCTTTAATAGGCTATAAATGGCAGGAGCTTTGAAGTCCCTGGGATTAGGATCAGTAATAGACAGACTGAATGAGAAACTAAATGCAGGTGGAACATACTCTATGCGTCCTGAATTAAAAACAAATCCAATTAATCAAACAGTTCTCAACCCTGGCTGCCAGGCGGCCGATTACAGGGGTGGCCAAGGCAAGACAGACAGTGATTCAGGATGAACCATGGGGCTTCTAGGGAGAGCTCCTGTAAGGCCTGACTGAGAGCCTGCGCAGGGCATGTTTTGTTGCTGCCTTTCTCAAAGAGAAGGAGGCCATCCATTTTTTTTTGGGGGGGGGGGGAGGAGAGCACAGTATCAGAGCAGAGATAAGGAAGGAGAAAATGAATGCCTTTTAAACTGAGTTTTCATGTAAACAAATCAGCTGAGATCTGTTTTCCCAAGGCTGACAGCCTTTGATCCTACTGATCCCAGGCCCTCAAACACTTGCGGCTACAGAGTATGCCAGGCCCGGGAGTTCCACGGGCCACCCCAGAACAGGAATGAGATGACTGAGAAAGTCGGGGTCATGCTGCCTCAGAAAGAATATTGTTGTTGACAAAACAGGAAAATTCATTCAAAACAAAGGATGCAAATAATTTGGCCATCCAAAATCAAACCAGCTGAGAGTGCACGGACGCCCAAGCAGGCGTCTCCGGAGCACAGCACTGCGCACACTCCTTACCTTCTGGAGGGTTTTTATTCTGATTATTCCAGACAACCAGCAGCTTGGAGAGACTCGGCACCTTGGACACTTCCGTGATGACCCGGAAGAGGCTCTCCACTCGGTCGTAGGTGAGGACGATGGCCGTGAACCCCTGTGACTGCGGCGGGATCAGCGGGAGGAAGAGCGGGTTGCTCACGCTGCTCCATTTCTGCAAGAGGACAGAGCAGCGGGGGTCAGAGAAGGAGCTGGAACGACGGGGCTGATCTGGCATCATCCGCCAGCCTGCACTGCGCGGATCTGGTGGCCTTCACCATGACCGATCTAAGAGCTGGGCAACCATCCAAAGTCCTCCGGTCCTATTTGCAGGGACTTCCTTTCGTTCACTTTGGCTCTGATACCACTGAAAAGGGAGCAGAGGGTTTTTGTCCATCCCCTCCCCAAACCCGCTCAAATGGTGGCTGTGGAATGTAAAGGAACACAGATCTGTAAGGACCAAGCGATGAGAGCGGAGGCAGCTGCTGACAGGGGACACTCACATCTTCCTGAAGCAGAAGGGGCGGCAGATCAGGGATGTGAGAGGGAGACCTCCGTGCCCGCCAGGAGTGCGGCCGGGAAGGCAAACACATTTAACCTGGGGACCCCACAAAAGCCCCAGAGTTAAACTCACCAGGCAGCTTGAAAGGAAAGGGGAGGAACAGGTTTAACAATAGGAAGACAGGTGAACAGTCTAGCCAGGAGCAGTTACAGACCCAGTGTCACACACCCTGCTTCCAGCCGGCTCAGCCGGAACACGGCCGGCCCGTACTCCCTGCGCACAGCTGCAGAAGGGAGGTCTGTTCTCTGCAGAAAGTGGGGCTCTGGACAGGGACGCCCAGGCACGCTCGGGAGGAAAAGGCAGGTTAGAAATCTACATTCCAAATGCCCCGCGGCGCGCCTCCACGTTCTGTTCCCCAAATGCTGGCGGCCACCAGGTTAGCCTGGCACCCCCTCTGCTTACGGGGGAAGCCGGCCCGGTGCAACACACAGCCTCACACAGAGAGCCTCTGACTGGTTTTTCGAGTGCCCCTCCTAATCAGGAACAGACTCTAGAATCACACACATTTCACGAGCATCTTCAGCATGAACTACAGAAAGCAGAGGAACAAAGGGAGGAGCTCAGGGGAAGCAGACACAAAAGGAGCCCTAAGGAAGTAAAACTCCACCGACAGATTGTATCCTCGGGGATCTAGGGTTCCCACCCATGAAACAGGAATAAATCACTATTGTTATTTAAAAAGATCTATCAAGGCACAGAAAGAAATCTTGGATATTAAAAAACATGATAGTCTAAATTTTTTTCTAAGAAAAATAATAATTTTTCTAAAGAGCAGAATCGAAGGACAAAAAAGATTAAATATTCCAGTCTTTTTTTTTTCTTTTTCTTTTCTTTTTTTTTTTTTTAAATTTTTTGACAGGCAGAGTGGACAGTGAGAGAGAGAGAGAAAGGTCTTCCTTTGCCGTTGGTTTACCCTCCAATGGCCACTGCGGCTGGCACGCTGCGGCCGGCGCACCGCGCTGATCCGATGGCAGGAGCCAGGTACTTCTCCTGGTCTCCCATGGGGTGCAGGGCCCAAGCACTTGGGCCATCCTCCACTGCACTCCCTGGCCACAGCAGAGAGCTGGCCTGGAAGAGGAGCAACCGGGACAGAATCCGGCGCCCTGACCGGGACTAGAACCCGGTGTGCCGGCGCCGTAAGGCGGAGGATTAGCCTAGTGAGCCACGGCGCCGGCCAATATTCCAGTCTTGAATAAAAAACAGAGATGAACAGAAAAGATGAGAAAACCCAGAAGGTCCAACATCCATTTAATAGGAGGTTCCAGGAAAAGAAAACACAGAATATGGGGGGAAAAAAACTATCCAGGAAATTAAACAAGTTCTCAACACAGAAGATCCAAAAGGTACAAAATTTCAAAGAATGTGAGGGGCCAAAAAGTAGCCAGCAGAGTGAAGTGAAAAAAAGGAAAAAGACGAATACAAAAAACCCAAATGAACGAGGATACAAAACTACTGTTACTACCATATCAAGCCACAAGACTTTTGAACCAGAGAAATAAAGAGGGAAATTCTCACAACCTGAGTTTTTTGATGATGGACATGTGAGTTCACTACAAAATTCTAAAAAGTTCTCTGTATGTTGGTTTTTTTTTTTTTGTAAAATGAAAATAATTCAATCTCTTACCATTAAAGTATTTAAGAGCACTAAATCATTCACATACAGCAATGTTAGCAAAACTATTTTTGAACTGATAATAAATAGGAAAAGATCATTAAAATGTGCTTACATTTTTAACAGCTTTATTGGGATATAATTCATAAGCCATAAAATCTACCCATTTCAAGTATGTGAGAGTTCTGGTATTTTAATTGTTAATTTTTAAAAATTGTGGTAAAGTACATACAGTTTGACATTTGTAATTTTAATAATTTTAAGAGTATAATTCAGTGACATGAATTGCATTCACACCCATAAGTTATCCTGTGGAAGGCCTAGAACTGAACTCCATCTCCACCAGCAAGTGGATCCGTACAAAACATCCCAAGCGCCATTCTGGCTGCCTTCCTCTCTGGGATTCCCGGGGTCCTAGGTCCATCCCATCCATATCACTGATGGACACCCATCACCATGTGTATGACAACAGCTGCTCGCCAGATGGACCAGCGCGGGGTAGGAAATGTACACAAACACATGGGGTACACATGGGCTGGGAACTCAAGGAGGCCGAGTGGGATGCCTGCAGCCCTAATGTAATCAGGATATTAAAGCCAAAATGTCCACAACATGCCGTAATTAGATTTCACAACAGAGAGACACAATAGCAAAGGTTATCTTCTCAGGGCTGACCCTGTGTTTCCATGACATCACCGGCGGACATGGAGCTGTAGTCCTAGGAAGGTGTCTGGATTTTAGCATTTGTACCCTAGCATCTGATTACAGATTCAGCAACTCTTTTAAGTTGCCTACTCCAAACCTTATTCTTCACCTCTTGCTGACTTTCATGAAATCAGTAGGTAGCCCTATGCTTAAGTCACAACGAATCCCAAGGCATGGTTCATGGTCTATCTTCCATCCCCAGCCCCAGGCCACTGGCCTACTCCTCTTGGCACAATACCTTCCATGTTCTCTTAAGAAAGATCAGTGTAAATGGAAAAGAAACAAGAAAGAATTCTTAAGAGAAGTGTGCAGGATCTCCCCATGCGCGATCATCTCGTGTGAAACGCTGAGATGCACTAAGTGCACGCGTGGTGCTACACATGTATGCCCTCACCCTGAGTCACACAACCCTCGAGACAGATGTGGTCCCTGGTTCTCACTTCACAGATGACCAACTGGAGTGTCAGACACAGCTAACGATGTCCAAGGCTACATAACCTGGAAGAGATGGAAGTGGGACAGAGTTTCCATGAGCTCTCCTGCAAGGACACTCAGATGGAGTCCCGAGTGACTCCAAAGGTTGCTTCTTCCAGCTCTTACCCAAGACCAAAGTCCTGCAAGTTCTTGGTCCTTGTGATTGAACCTGGGTCAACAGGCAAGAACCCACCCTAACACCACGACTTCAGAGAAAACATGCAATAAAAACACCCAAATACATAACACTAAGTGTGCACATAAATTTACAAAGGTAAATACACTGCTAACACAGAAGGAAAAACTATTAAAACTCCAACAAAATGAGGTCTGTTCTTTGGGAGAAAGGGGGAGAAGGCCAACACACTTAAATGTCTTTATGACATGAAGAGCAGAGGAAAATTCCCCGAGAGATGCAAAGCTTGGTTACAGAAAATGAATGCCCTGGAATGTAACTGAGGCACCTCCTGAAAGGCAGCCTGGCTCTGGTTTCAAGGCACTGCCCGGGAAAAGGAGCCAGAGTCCCTAGCAAGACAGCAGATCTGGTGTCATCTCCTGCGCCAGCTCCACTTGGGAAGGGGATGGTTAGGGAAGGGGGCCAGCAGGAGGGGATCGCTGGCTGGGAAGTGGACAGTCACTCCTCCTGGTGTTCAGTTTTTCCACACTACCCACTTGCATCCCAAACAGGGCCTGGAAACTGGAGAAGTGGAGACGGCAGCCTGTGGGGGAGACGGAGCACATAAAGGAGCCCAGTGAGGCCTGAAGTCCGGCCAACACTTTCCCATAAAATACAGAAGCTGCGGTGAACGCAGGAGGCGGCGTCCCGGCTACTGGGCAGATAAGTCATTGCGAGACAGGCACCATTCTTGCTGTGAGACACGCCGCCGGGATGGAGACAGAGGGCTTCAAAAGTGAGTCAGCGCATCTGGGGTCAGTATGGGAATCACGAGTCCTCAATCTGAATCCAGGTTGTTTCGCTTCCCAGCGGGGTCACCGGGGCCAAGCACCTCTCGTGCCACCCAGCTTCTCCATCTATGACATCCTGAGCCGCCTCTGCCTCTCCAGGTAGCAGTACTCAATGCACATGAGGTGATGCTCAGATGGTACCTGGCAGGCAGGAGCATTTGGTAAATGGCTGGCCCTGTGTAAGGATCCATTTCTCTGGGTTGCATTTTCTGCAAGGCCCAAGCCTGGGCTGGGGAGGCGGCGGTATCCTAGCAATCCTGAGGCCTCTTCCAGCCGGGGAATTCTACGTGAAATCCCCCTTCCTTTCCTTTACCCTGTCAGGTGTTTAGTTCCTGGTTTTACCTGGCTCTCCACCTCTACTTCTTCTTCCTAAACACACTGCATCAGCTGTCCCAGAAGCTCCGAAACAGCACGGGCCACTAACACCCAGCACCTAGCACAGGGCCTGGTGTGAATCCAAAAAAGCTGGCAAACACACACACACACACACACACACAAACACACACAACACAAAAAAACCGCACAAGCCCCACGCACAGGATGTGGGTCACACTCTGTCCGTCCTCAGGATGTGTGGCTGTGAACAGGCCAAGCACACTCACATGAGTGATGTGAGTTGCAAAGCGATTTCCAGCTCATTTCAGTTTCCAAGTTACACGAGTCCCACCACTCGAAGGACTCTGAACGAGTGTGGGATTCTGTCAGGATATTTAAGAGGACTTGCATGTGGGTCTTCCATTTCCTGGTTTCGTGATGCATAAAGTCATGTCCACCAGCGACAGAGTCTTCATCTGTGCCATGGGGATGTGACAGTGCCTATCCTCCAGGGTAATGACCATTAAGATGAGATTCTGTG